CCCAGATTTTTGCCGAATCGATAGTCGGATCAATCAAATGAAGTGCTTGATTGTACGATTTGAGTGCGTCCATTCAAGGGCAATATGAATTGAGTCGTCGTTTCCATAATTTCACCGAAGAGCAGACTCTCCACTTCATATTTACGGATGCAATAGACATTGCCTTCCTTTAGATCTTGTTTCATCCTCGAAATAAAATTCCCACGTACCACACTCATGATTTGTGTCCCCTACAAATATGTGAAATCTATGTATTAAACATCATGATAGTGTTTGATGTTGAAATAGTAAAAAATAAAAATTAAATAGAATAATACCTCCCTATCTTCAAAAAAGATCTTCAAGATATGTTTGCGATTGGGATACTCGCGCTCATGCATTGAAACCACAAGAAGTTTTAGCGGGCATTTCTTGCTTCTTCGAATATCGTTGATCACACCGAAGGGATTTTTCGTTGCCGATTGATGTAGTTTTTGATAGTTGGGAATGTATATTTGTAAATGCGTGTATGTTTTAAATTTCTGTTTAGTGTGCTGTTTATTTATAGGGTGTGGTGATTAATTTATGGTGGATGATATATGGTGAAAACATTTTTTAATGGATTAATATTAAACAAAATGGAGTTTTTAATTTTAAAGAAAATCAGATATCATATCATTTTGCATTATCAATTTGATTTAATTGCCTTATCACTCTGATTTGATTCTCCTTAAATAAAGCGAACGTGGGAAAAAAACTACAATTTAAAGTGATAAGTTTTAACAACTATTCCTTAATTAAAGCTTGATTTAATTGCCTTATCAATCTGATTTTAGATTCCTTAAATAACGGGGAACGTGGGGAAAAAAATGTGAAAAGAGTTAACAACTCATCCTTAATAAAAGGTGACCGCGGGAGCCAACTAATATTACTATAAGTAGTAAACATTAAATGAAGAGAGAGAATATGAATGAATTTTGATTGCCATTTTTAAAAAATGGTAAATCTATTTATATATATATAGATTTCTTTTACTAATAAGTCAACCAATTTAATTGCAAAGTCAAAGTAAATATTTTAGGTTATTCCATCAACCTCTTTAAATATATATAGATAAAAACAATTCAGTAATATTATTATTCGTACTTTTCTGAAAAATAAAATGTATCTAATTGTAATTATTATTTTATCACATCATCTGAGTTAATTAACATTCAAACTCAAATAACAATTAAAATATACAAAGTGGACTTACTGAACTCCACAAATGAAAGCACGTTCAATCAAATACATACTCCCTCCTATTTTTTTTAAATGTCATTCTACCTTTTTCAACTATTTGCCAAATAAATATCGTTTTGCATCTTTTGTACACATTTTTCCAGGGTAAATTGCGCCAAACTCCCCTGTATTATACGAAATTTGCGCGTTTTCCCCCTGTATTTTAAAAATTGCGCCATACCCCCTTGTAATATACTTTTACATGCACAA